GCCATGTTGCCTGCCGCCAGTGGATTTTGGCTTCGTCAACCCACGACTTGATCTGCACACGGGTCTGGTTAGGCAGGCTTTAAATATCTAGGAATCTAAATTATGTTACCGAGCGCTCCATAGGACGGAGGCCCTCTGACCGGGCATGGAGGTCGCTGATGTGAGGGTATATTCGTTGTGACTTTGCGGAAGGCATTGCTGGTGGACCGCGAAGTGGATGAGGGGGTGTATTTGAGTTCATCCCTATCGAATCGTGAGGTAAAAAAGGTTATTTTGCATCGCAGGGAGAGTCCTCTGGTGGTGTGGAGGAGGTAAGCTGAATGGGGAAGAGATGGCGGGGAATGTGTGATTGTGATTGTAGGGAGCCGCCGGAACAGGATTTCGGAGGTGCCCCAGCTAAGTCGGCACTACCAGCTAATAAGTACATGTACTCTAAAATAAACTACATGTACATGTATACTCTACATGCTAACGAAAATTAGCACACCTGGCTAGAATCATGTATGTAGGAATACATATTCCGTTTTAACGACGACCTTAAATTTGCACTGGCTCCCAGAATAAATATATGTAGGCCGAGGTACATGTACCTACGCTTCCTAACACTTTACTTCAATATGTAGGCAAACATTCTTACCGGATCACTACACACAGGTCTCTATATGATGGTTTTGTTTGTGTCGTGCACAGCCTATAGTATGCGCGTTCGTTATGCTGGACCCTTGGCTTAACCCAAGCTTTAGTGCAACAGGGTTTACACACATACATGTAGTAGTGGTCATCACGTGCTAAGGCATACGTTTCTTCTAGCTTATGTAACGGCGGGGCGACGCGGCGTCAGTAAAGCAAGTTGGTGAGGCAGCGATCTACACCAGCTTCGTCCTCATACCCACCTACATCCTAAGTATTTATTTCAAACAGCAGATTTCACCACAATCTCTATATCATTTATTTGATTTTCAGACTTATTCGTAGCTCTAAGCTACTACGTGTTTCCATTCAACGTCGCAATCATTTGGCGACTTACCATCTACTCTGCCTTCTACCCACACAAGAGAAATAGTAACAGCACCCTTCGAAGGAATGGCTTCATGGTTTACAGCTTCAAATTCCTCCCTGGATGACCAGGTTGAGAAAGCTACCGGATCAAGCCTGTATTGCCCCCTCTCTATCACTTCAATCATTTCGACCGTAAACCTCTTTTACACCATGAGGTCTCAGGCTTCACGTCAAAGCTGACAGCTGATTAGGGAGGATATGGCACTGAATCTCGAGATATCCGATATTATTCGGAGCAAGACTGTACAGCCCAAGGAAGCTATGCGCTCGTTGAGAAAACGCATAGGGCACAAAAATCCCAATATTCAGCTAGCAGCCTTAAACGTGAGCTCTGATATAATGATTCCGATCAATAATGAAGAAGCCTAGAATGAACTGACTATCTCCCTTCGGTAGCTTACTGATACTTGCGTCAAGAATGGCGGCTCTCATTTTCTCACTGAGATTGCATCTCGTGAATTCATGGATAATCTCGTTTCTCTGTTGAAGGCTCCTTACCCTATTGACCCAAAAGTCGAATCTAAAATGCTTGAGCTTATCCAAACTTGGGCCTCTGCCTTTGAAGGGCAGCCCCATCTATCTTACGCAAACCAGATATACCGTCAACTACAAACAGAAAACTTTAGTTTTCCGCCCCCAACCAAGGTTTCATCGACCTTTGTAGACTCATCAGCGGTATATTGTCTAATCTAGTTAGATTTTGGCTGGTGCTAATAATACTTGTTAGCCGCCGGATTGGACCGATTCAGATGTTTGCATGCGCTGTCGGACCCCTTTCACTTTCACAAACAGGAAGCATCACTGCCGTAACTGTGGAAATACCTTCTGTGGAACCTGTTCTTCAAAGTCAATACCATTGCCGCACATTGGAATAGTTCAGGCTGTGCGTGTTTGTGATGGATGCCACACTAAATTGACAGAACGACGAGCTCCTGTGGCTCCTGTGGGTTCTCCAAAGCATGGAGGTCATAGTCAAAGGCACCCAACCTCGAAGCCCAAAGCACAACCTGCCCCAATGCAACCAAGAAATGCTAGGGTTGAAGATGATGACGATGAAGATCTTAAAATGGCTCTAAAAATGTCGCTGGAGGAGGCTACGGGTAAAGCAAGCGCCGGTTATGTTTCACAACAGCAGTTGCAGGCCCAGAAGCAGGTTACTCAAGCTACTTCAGTAGCCTCATATACCGAAGCGCAGCCTTCACAATCCGCTCAACACACCCGGGAGGGGAACCCTCCTGAAGAAGACGAGGATGAAGAGCTAAAAGCCGCGATTGCCGCGAGCCTGAGGGACATGGAGGAGCAGAAGGCCAAATCAGCCTGGTCAAATCCTAGTGCTGCTGTAAAATCTACCGCTTTTCAAGCCAACATAGCGCGTAGACCTGACCATGAGTTGAGTCCGGGAGAGGCGGAGAACATCAACCTGTTCGCAACACTAGTGGACCGGTTACAGACTCAGCCACCAGGAACGATCTTAAGGGAACCGCAGATTCAAGAATTGTATGAAAGTATTGGGACGTTGAGACCAAAGTTGGCTAGAACATTTGGTGAAACCATGAGCAAATATGGTAATATAATCGTTCCCCCCCCCCCCCCCCCCCACAAAAAAGAAAGAAAGAAGAAAAAACCTAACTTGAATCAATGTCTTGAACTACAGAGGCGTTGTGCGATCTTCATGCAAAGCTGGGAACAGTTGTCCGCTATTATGACCGGATGTTGGAAGAGCGGCTTAGCTACACCTATGGCCGGCACGGTGTATCATCACCAGCTCCATACCAACAGCCTCCAGCTAGTAGTAATGCGTACCCAACCCTGCCATCGGCCGAAAATTATTATGGCAGGAGCGATTCTTCCGCTTCCCAGAATAACTACCCTCCTCCACAAACAAACTTTCAAAACTATTATACCCAACCGCATACGTTTGACAAACAAGGGTCATTTTCTGGACAGTCCGAACCACAGCCAAATCCACAAACACAGTATCAACAAACATCTACTCCTCAAGCACCATACCAATACAATGGCTACAATCCCAATCCCCCACCGCAAAATGATTCCGCCGTGCCGCCTACACAACAGCCTTCAGAGCCCCCCTCAACATCAATCTCGAGACAGCAGCCTCTCCATCAGCAGCACACAGGCCCCTCGGCACAGCATCAACAGCCCATGCAAACTTCACAGCCTCCCCAAGAAAATTCTTACTGGCAGTATCCTAAAGCTGGACAGGAGCCTGGATATCAATATCTATATTCACCTCATTCACAACAAATACCTTGGCAGCAAGGGTCTAATGCACCTCCCGGTGGCGGACAATATGCATATCCTCCTCCTCACGGTGTGAGCGAAGCCTCGGCATCTACCCCTGTTCAAAACCCGCCACCGCATCCACAGCCAAAAGCAGTAGAAGAGAGTTTGATCGACTTGTAGATCACCTACACATATCTTCTTTTTTTTCCCCTAATGATGTATTGGTACAAAGTGGGTGTTCGTGGTCATTTCAGTCAGACCTTGGGTAATGATTATGTTAGTTGGTTTGAGGATGGAGCCTGCATTGTACGGACCTATTTTAGTTTAAATATTGAATCACTTCGTATTTGTGTAATGACAAGGGGAAATAAATGCAGTAGGTACTGTAATGTTGGTACTTATTCTCTATTGGGGGTGTTACCCGGTCCTAGCACATAGGTTGTATGGTGCCGGTCCCGATGAACCTACACTTTTGGCGGATGAAAAAGCCACCCACGCCAAATCTATCTACATGTAGTCTACAACCAAGTAACAAAAAATTAAGTAAATAGACTATAAGTCTTATTCGTCAGAAAAAAGAAATAATGATTTTTCAAGGAGGTGATACCAAAATAGTGTGACCATATTTTGTTGGGAGCGTAGGCTATTAGAGCGTATTTGCCAACAGTCAATTTCAAGAATTTACAAATAGAGGGACTCCAAAATGGCAAACGGGGCTATTAATTTTGAATCTTGGTGGGGCAGCGTGCTGTGAGATATACTAGGTTTTGTTACTAGCGGGGCTAGTATCATGGTATGAATTTTCAGTTCCAACAGCGTATTTCACAGGTAGCGTGATGAATTGTCTAATTTACGGGTTTATTCTGCCATACCACTAACCAGATCTACATGTATTTGGCCACTGAGGGGAACTGTCAATTTTGAAGTGTCAATAGAGACTTTGCGCAAATAGAGCCAGCTCCATTTTCTGACAACCTGATTGGCGTCGATCGCACCATTAGCCAATCATATAATCAAAATATAATAGAGCTGGCTCCACTTGCGCAAAGTCTCTAATAGTTGAAATTGTCGGTTGGCAAATACGCCAAAAATGTATGGCGCGAGAAGGCATGGGGGGGTGTCAACTTCAGAGGAACTTTTTTTGGACGCTAGTACTATTATGGGGGTAGATCTCTAAATTTCTATAGATTGATTGGCTGCAAACGCCGAAGTTTACACACCTATAGGTATAGTACAATTATTATAGGGTTAGGGTAGGTATAGTCAGGTTAAAATTAGGGGCTAGGGGTCTTACCTATTGGCGTGTTAATAGGTTTATCGAGACTAGCACCATATGACGACGCCGTGCATACGCCTATCGATAACGCTAGATAACGCCCGTCAACTTTGATTCAACCTCTGCGAAGCCAAGTCAACCTCTGCTAAGCCAAGACCTTTGCCGAGGAAATCTGGGTGGACACTTCCACTACTCACCCCCCTCTCACCCGGACAGTTTATGGTGATTGGTTCAAAAGAGATATAAAAGCTACATGTAGTTATAAGGTAAATCCATTATGTACCTAGAAACAATAAATGACTTGACTTAAAAAAAGTTATAAGGTAAATCATCTTGTTGTTATGGCAACTGACTGTCTGGGTTGGGTTGGGTTAGGGAGAGGGCGTTTGCAGCAAGACAAGGTTGAAAAAAGTTGAGATATTGCCACCAGTGCGGTTCGAACGCACGCATCTTTCGATAGCACAGTTCAGTTTTGAAGAACTTAAATGTGCCGCCTTAAACCACTCGGCCATGGTGGCATGTCTACGTCAGACGAATATGACATACTGAAAACAAACATTACAAACCTCATAACGCTCACAGAACCACCGTAACCATTTATCTGAGGGACGTTGGACCCCCAACCGAAAACACATATACATTCTGTCATCACTTTAGCCTGAAGAATAATAGCGGGATTCTACGTTTGCATTTCATAACTGATCGACATCAACGGCTCTTGGCGAATAGCTCCTCTGCTGCTACAGCCTGCAACCAACCCCGCCATCTCCTCCACATACACCCAAAGATCCGCCCGCACCCATCATTCGTCATGTCTCGACACAAGAATATCAGAAATCTAGACCTAGATGAAGGCATGCCCTTGGTAATTTAATTTCTATCAACTGCGATTCCTAATACAATGGCGCTGCAGAATTATACGACTACGATGGCGAAGATCACGACGATGGCTCAGGTGGTGTGTACCTACCAAGTGCTCTGAATTTTAAAAACCTTCTAATAAACTATCAAAAATAGGAATGAGTGAAAGTGATAGATGTATTACAGCTCCTTATCTCTCACTACTAGTAGGGTGTACATTGCTAAGAGTTTAACGCTAACGCCCATCATAGATCAGTTAAACGTGGGCTTGCAAAAGGTACGAGAGGTACTGGGCAATGAGGTAGCAACGGACAAGGAAATCCGGGAGTCTTTGTGGTACTATTTTTTCGATGTTGAAAAGACCGTTAATTATATCCTGAGTAATGCATTTGTCACTTGCCACTAGGAAGTGCAGAAACACAAGATTACTGACTGCTTGAATAGACCAACACGGCAAACCTACCAAAAAGAAAAAGTCCAAATCCAGCAAAGGTAGTTTAACTTTTCCGTTCGCGATTTGCCTACCTCTAGCCCTGTTTCTTTGTTAAGATGCCCACCTGAAAGCGGTACATCATTCCTACACTGATTGTACAGGATGGTCAGAGCTCATCTAAGGGATTGGTCAAGGTCAAGGCTATTTCGGAAATCACGAGGCGCCCAAGATGTCTGCGGTGGCTTATGGGCTTTTTGTGGATGCACCTTGGGGGATGATTCCGGAAGATCGTAAGGGATATATCTTGGTCCAACCTGTGCGCCCACTTGGCGGACTCCTCGGAGGTTCGGGTGGGCCAGCCGGGGGAAAGACCTCGAAACTTGCAGCTTTGGCAAAAGCTAGAAAGGAAAAGGCGGATGCTCAAAAAAAGCTTCTTCTTCAGCAGACATCTTCAGATAAAAGCACCGCGGTGTCTATGCTGTCACGTCTCTCGGCGAAACAATCACCCCCACCCGTTCAGGCGCCATTATCTGTAATAACAGCAGACATCGATGTCCAACCAACAAACTTTCCCGAAAACCAAGATATCAGAGCTCCGCCGCTGCTCACACCAAGCCCCATACATAATCAACCTAGCCAGAGCCTTGACCAGTCGGCAAGAAAAGAGCCAGAAGAGTGGTCTTTCCCTGCCCAGGAACAGGAGGGCCCTGTTCCTGCTTTAGATCTAAGAGCTGGGCCATCAAAATTTGCGCTGTCCATGTTTGGAGATAGGCTTGCATCAGTGTATGAAATTGAGGTCACTGACAGGCGTATGTTCTCGTTACCAGGAGCTCCTACGAGTGCATTCTCTGGACCAAGTCCGGATGATGTTGTTGTTGCTGCCCAAAGTTCTAGTAAAGGTAGTAAATTCCGTTCTGAAAATTTAGCATATTTAATTCAAAGTTAGTCTAACATAGATATGACTCCTAGGCTTGAATGGAAAAGCCGCTTCTAAGAATGACCCGAAAGCCCTGGCAGATGCCAAAGCGCTGAAGAAAGTTGAAGCAGCCATACAAGCGGTCAATATCGACAGTGCACCTGTGAAGCAGCGGAAAAAGATCGATGTTCTTCAAGAATATAAAAATTCAACGGCGAAAGAAAACGCGAACTTTGTAGTGATAGGTCTGTGGTTTCCGTCCGGAACCTGAGAACGAAATGGCTTATGTTTATCGTATCATAGGACATGTTGATGCTGGGAAGAGTACTCTCATGGGGAGACTCCTTTTAGACACTGGTGTAGTGGATCAACGAACAGTTGAAAAGTTTAAACAAGAAGCAGAGAAAATAGGGAAATCATCCTTTGCACTCGCTTGGGTGCTAGACCAGACAGACGAGGAACGAAGCAGGTATGGTAGTTCTATGCCTTGAAATATATTGAACGCTAACTTTGGCTTTCTGCCAGGGGGGTTACAATGGATATCGCCGTGAACAAATTTGAGACCGAAAAGGCTCGGTTTACGATCTTAGATGCCCCGGGTCATCGCGACTTTATTCCAAACATGATTGCTGGTGCATCCCAAGCCGACTTTGCAGTGCTTGTTATTGATTCTTCAACTGGGGCCTTTGAGGCTGGGTTCCATTTGAGGGGGCAAACCAAAGAACATACTCTACTCGTCAGAAGTATGGGTGTTCAACGGATAATCGTAGCCGTAAATAAACTTGACTCGGTAGAATGGTCTCATGAGCGATTCGAAGAGATCGAGCAGCAGATGACTCAATTCCTTACACAAGCTAGGTTTGCTTCAAAAAATATCAGCTTCATACCTTGTAGTGGATTGACAGGTGGAAATGTCGTGAAGAAACCGAAACCTGGCCTCATTCCTTGGTACTTCGGGCCAACATTAGTAGAAGAACTCGGTAGAGTATCCGCGCTCAATTATACCTACATGTATATACATGTAATCATCACGCTAATTTCATCACTTTGATACGCATAGAAAAAACGAAGCCCCTAACACGCGCAATCGAAAAGCCATTACGAATTACAATCTCGGATGTTTTCAAAGGTGGAATTACGAACCCAGTCTCTGTTTCTGGCCGAATAGAGGCCGGCAGTCTTCAGGTTGGGGATAACATCGTTGCCATACCTAGCGGTGAGGGTGGGGTTATCAAGGCAATCGAAGTTGATGATGAACCCACTGATTGGGCGGTTGCTGGCCACAATGTCGTTATCCACCTATCGAATATCGATATGGTACATTTAAGGTATGACAACGTTACATTCAAGTGCTTGTATGAACATATAATGACGGGTTCATAGGGAGGGCGATATTCTTTGCGATCCAACAAATCGCGTTACTCCCCAAAGTTCATTCACGATAAAAATACTTGCCTTCGAGGGACTCACACCCATGATGGTTGATGTTCACAGAGGACGGCTTCATGCGCCAGGAAAAGTTGTTTATCTTCTCTCAACACTAGATAAAGCAACTGGTGTTGTTCTGAAGAAAAGGCCAAGGCATATCACCGCTGGGTCACTGGCAACTGTAAAGGTAGAGCTTATGGGTAACCCGATTCCATTGGAGGCGGGTTACAAGGTGGTATTGCGAAGCGGTGGACAAACTGTTGCCGCCGGAATTGTTGAACAGTAAACTACATGTAGTTGGACAGCCACTTCGTCTAATTAATTTTCTCATGCATTTAGGATAATACTGCTGAAGAAAGATACACCAAGTTGTCCTTTTAGTTGAATACCACATACTTCGTACACAGTCACCGCCCATTTCTTGTGACTCAATGTTGAGTAGCAATAGATGATAAATAAATAATAAGAGCAAAGGTTCAATCTACACTTGTCTAATGAGAAGTGTGTGTAAAATACCCTTGAATTTACATAATATATTTTCCAGATCTGAGGGTTACATGCACGTATGTAGATGTAGGTACCCTTTTTGTACGCACGCTGTCCTACCATACGGCCACATATTATGGGCCGTTTTGGGGCCTTCTTAAATTAACAAGCAGAGGTGATTATAGTACATACATGTATATGTAGTAACTGTTTACTTTTGGAAAGTTTGACTTAGGGGTACTCAACCCTCGGATCTAAAGGTACAATTAAACATTTACTCGCCTTGAAACTGGGCGTAATTAATGAGCCTAGGATATAAAGGAAACACCGTATATCTCCGGAAGTGCAGACTTCATCGTAACACATCTATACGGAGACATCTTGCGGGCCGGCCGGGGTTGGGGTGGTCGGCGGCTCAGGTTTTGGTTTCACCCATAGTATCGAGTAAACCCTACAGACCGTTAGTCTTAGATGATGCCTGAAGTGTTTTACCCAATCAGTGTAGTTTCTTCATTGTAGCACCGATGACTTTGCAGGCACTACTAGCCACAAACCTTTTTACATTAGGACTTACAAATGTACCTACAGCGTACCTACTTGTAGATACATGTACTCGTAGTTTCCTGGCGTTTTTGGACTGGGCCACTATTGCATACACCTAAAATCAGGATCTTGGCGTATCTTTGTATGGGATGCAATATCAGTCGCGTTCAAAAACGTCAGGAAGTTACGAGTACTCGCAATGTCCTGACGTTTTTGAACTGGGCCACTATTGCATACACCAAAAATCCGAAGCTTGGCGAACTCTTGTATGGTATGCAATATCAGTCGCGTCTAAAAACGTCAGGACATTGCGAGTATAGATATATGTACATTTGTAGATTACACGTAGGTACATGTACTAGGGTGTAGCGAAAAGTGATCAGAATCTGATAAGAGAAATACACGTATTCACCGCAGCATTTACTTATCAGATTCTGATCACTTACCCTCAACACCCGGTACTTATTGTAACTCCAAGATTTTAATGCAAGTCAGAGGCAAGTCTAATAGCCAGGTTTTTCCCGGGAGTGTAAACAGGTGGCTCAATTACATCCCCCACCTCCTCAAAGCGTAAACGAGGACTAGAAACTTCCTCGTGTATTCAATTAAGATGCGTGCAATACCACTGTGCAGCATAGCTGCACCTCTAGCCCTAAGTTACCACCGTGTTCTTTCCCCTGACTTGGCGCAGATCCTGGGGGTGGCGGCTGCGCCAGGGTGTGTGTGACTAAGCTTAGGAAACCGCCAAAGCTCGAGGAACCTGGAAGTTTGAAAAGTGTCCTCAACTACGAAAGGTGGCTTTTTCTCCCAGGACTGTTATAAAGGAATCCATCTTCTCTTCCACCCCGCAC